CTGTCTGTTAAAAAATAATAGTAATTCTGGGCATCATGGCTCATGCCTATAAATCCAGCAACTCAAGAGGCAAAGGCAGGAGGTCTCTATCAGTTATTAATTGGCTAATTTGGGGAAAGTTATTGCTCTGCCTCAGTTTCATCATCTGTGAAACAGGACAATAATTATACCCCATGTGTTGTAGAGAAGATTAAATGAGGTAAATAGATACAGTGTGCTTAGAATAGTACTTGAAAACACTCAGTGTATGTCAGCTGCTGTTATGACAGTGATTGTTTTTTTTTAAAATGTTTGTGTTTTTAGAAAGAGAGAGAGAGAGAGAGAGGGAGGGAGGGAGAATTTTTAATATTTATTTTTTAGTTTTCGGCAGACACAACATCTTTGTTTGTATGTGGTGCTGAGGATCGAACCCGGGCCGCACGCATGCCAGACGAGTGCGCTACTGCTTGAGCCACATCCCCAGCCCCATGACAGTGATTGTTAAAATGTGCAATTTAAACTTTAGTCAATATTGACAAAATGGCTGTACAAATTTTATTTTCACCAACAGAGTATAAGAGTTCCTGTTTTTACTGCTCTTATTAATTTTTGATCCTATGTCTTAAATTTTTGCCAATCAAATGTACATGGAATGGTTACTATCCTGATCTGCAAGTCTTTGATTGTCTGTCAGGTCGAGCATCTGCTCATGTTTATTGGTCACTCTGGTTTCCCTTCCTGTGAATTGCCTATTCATAGCCTTTGCCTATTTTCCTGTTGGGGTGGGGTGGGGGTTGTCTTTTTTTCATTGGTTTGTATCATATATACACAATTTTTTAAAAATGTTTTTTTGGATGTTGATGGACCTTTGTTTTATTCACTTATTTATGGTGCTGAGAATCAAACCAGTGCCTCACATATGTGGACCACTGAGCCACAATCCCAGCCCCACCCTTTTTTTTTTTAATATTAAGACTTTTAATATGTTACACTTACCTCTTCCCAGCCTGTGGCATCTTTCAATTTAGTTTATGATGCCTTTTGGTGCAGCAGGGTTTTGTGTTTTTTGGCTATTGTGCTTCTGGGAATTGAACCCAGGGCCTCCTGCATGCTAAACACAATCTCTGCCACTAACTTATACCTTCAGCCCCAGGTTTGTTTTTTAACAGTTTTATTGAGATATAAATAAAATAATTATAATTTACCCATTTAATGTATATATTGTTTTTTGGTATATTTTTAATTGTTTTAAGTCATGGTAAAATATATATGACCTAAGATTTGTCTTTTAATCTTTCTTTTGGAGGAGGCAGGGGGATAGGGTCTTACTTTGTTGTCCAGGATGGTCTTGAACTCAACAATCCTCCTAGTTCAGCCTCCCTACTAGTTGGAATTACTGATGTGCAACGTGTGCCTGGTTCCATTTTAACCATTTTTTAGTGGTATTAATTCTACTCACACTGTTGTACAGCTATAAACCAGTACAGTGGCTTTTAATTTGGATGTAGTCAAATTTATCCATCTTTATGATTAATGCATAAAGCTATTTTTCTATTCCATAATTTCCTCTAATTCTTTTGAATTTTATTTCTTACTCTTATGCATTTCATCTACCTCCTGTGTGTTCTATTCTTGAGTCTGTTTTGGGGTTGTTCTGTCCGATTCATTTGTCTATTGCTACCTCATTACCACACCATTTAGTTACTATAGCAACTTTTACTTAACTCTTCAAGTCTTGGCTATTCTTGGGCTTTTATTGTTTCATCTGAATTTTAGAATTATTTTGTCAAATTCCACCAGAAATCTTAAGGGTACTGGAGCTTAGTGGTAGAGTGATTGCCTAGTTTTGCGCAAGGCCCTGGGTTTGATTTTGAGTACTACAGAATTAAAAGACAAACAAATAAAAACCAAAACTCACCTTAGTATTTCAGTTGGATTTCCTTAGTGAGTTTTTATATTATCTCAACACACCTTCCTGTGCGTTTTGCTCTCCCTCTTTCAGGCCCTTACCTCTCAAGCTGGGCCCTTGAGCAGCATGTCTCAATGTGAACCACATCTGTACTGATAGCTCAACTCAGGATAGGGGAGAAAAAGAGCAAAAGAGAATGATAACAGATCTAATATCACTATCTTATATTGATTTTATACCTTGGGTAGATGTAGCACTAGACCTTTCCTTGTTTAATTTTTATAAACTCAGACAGGTAAAAACCTGATTCCAACCCAAGTCTGTGGGACATCTGCTGGTACTGTCTATATCCCATATACAGAAGAGAGTGGAGGGGAGTCGTGAAGAGCAGGACATCTGGAGCTAAACTGCCTGCGTCTCTGCTCTGGCTCTATGCTTACAAGTAGTCTGATCCTGGCGAGGTTCCTCAATCTCTCTGAATATCATTGTCTTATTTGGAAACATGAGGATAATAATAGAATTTGCCCCATGGAATTCATAGGAGGATTAAATAGGTTAATATAGCTAAAGAGCTTAGAATAAGCCTGGTATGGGAAATGTTATACAAGTATTACTATTATCTCTAAGCCACATGGCTAGAGCATGTCTCAAGTGGCAAAGACTTGTCTTGCAGGCTTTAGCCTGTGTCTGATAAGTTTGGCCTGGGGAGCTATCCTTTCCTGTCCCTTGAGCATGGTGCATTGGCAAGAGTGTGGACTTGATGGTTCAAGCTCTCATCTTTTTTCTTTTAATTAATTAATTGTATATTTTTTAGTTGTAGATGGACATAATACCTTTATTTTATTTATTTTTATGTGGTGCTGAGGATCGAACCCAGTGCCTCACATGTGCTAGGCAAGCGCTCCATCACTGAGCTACAACCCCAGCCCCTCAAGCTCTTACCTTAACTTCATTCACACCAGCTATGTAGCTTATTACTTGGCCTGTCTGAATGTGTTCCTTCAGTGGTACAAGGAGATGAGATGAGTACAAACCCGTGTTCCTTTTCCATCTGCCTTTTGTACTTGGAACCTCCACCTCCTTGGTGCCCCACCTTGTGAGCACCTGTAGCTCCTATTCATCCTCAGGCCTTCCCTTCACTCTTTGCACCAAGATTTATTTTATTATTATTTTTGGTACCAGGGATTGAGTCCAGGGGTGCTTAACCACTGAGCACATTCCCTAGCCCCTTTTTAATTTTTTTGAGACAGGGTCTTGCTAAGTTGCTGATGCTGGCTTTGAACTTGTGATCCTCCTGCCTCAGCTTCCTGACCTGCTGGGATTATAGTGCCACTGCGCCTGGCTACTCCAGGATTCTCACAAAACAAAATGTCCTTGCCCCTTCGTGGCTCTGTTTCCTTTTCATGCAAAAAGGTGACCTATGGCTACCATCCTTACTCTTTTTTTCATCCTCAACCATCAGGCCTCGCTCACTGGAATTCTGGGTCACCAGAAACCTTGCCTGGCAAGATCCAAAGACCTTTGTGTTCATTCCCTTATAGTGTCTGTGTAAGCCAAGAGTGGTCACCTTTCTGAGAGGTGTGTTGTCCACCCACTTTTTTTGTATTTGTGTGTGTGTGTGCGCGCGCGCACTACTGAGGATTGAACTCAGGAACTTGCTCATGCTCACAAAATTGCCCAGGCTGGCCTCAAACTTGCAGTCCTCCTACTTTAGTTTCCAAAGTCATTGGGATAGTTTTCCCACACACTCTTGAAACTGCCTCTCCCCCTTGTTCTTCTAACTATGCTGGCCTCCCCTCTCCTCCCACCGCTTTTTCTTTCTTTCTTTTCTTTCTTTCCTTTTCCTTTCCTTTCCTTTTCTTTCTTCACCAGGGATTGACCAGCACTCAACCACTGAACCACATCCCCAACCCTATTTTGTATTTTATTAGATACAGGGTCTCACTGAGTTGCTTAGCACCTCACTTTTGCTGAGGCTGGCTTTGAACTCATGATCCTCCTGTCTCAGCCTCCCTGGTGTGTGCCACCTTATCTTGCTTTTTTTTTTTTTTTTGGTACCAGGGATTGAACTTGGGCACTCAACCACTAAGCCACATCCCCAGCTCTTTTTTTTTCTATTTTATTTAGAGACAGGGTCTCACTGAGTTGCTTAGTGCCTCGCTAAGTTGCTGAGGCTGGCTTTGAACTCACAATCCTCTTGCCTCAGCCTCCTGAGCTGCTGGGTTTTATATATATTTATACATTTTTTATTTTTATGTGGTACTAAGGATTGAACACAGTGTCTCACACATGCTAGGCAAGTGCTCCACCACTGAGCTTCAATCCCAGTCCTCCTCACACCTCTTAATCCTAACCCTCTTTCAGTGGCAGCTTCTTTCAGAGTTCAGTCCATTTCACTCAGCAAATCCTTACCACCAAGCATCTCTTGTATGCCACAGAGCTTAAGACCACTTCTACATGTAAGAAACAGCAATACTAAAACAAAATGACAAGACCAGTACTAATAGTATTTTATCAATGTTCAGAGTTCATTGAATTTTTAAAGATCAGTGAAACCAAACATTTAAAGGATACAAATAAATTTATAAACAGATTATAGAATGTCATTCTAACTACTACTACTGATAGCCTCACTGGGATGTGTTAGCACTCCATTCTAGTTTGAGGAGGGCAAGATGAAGAGAGAGAGATGACTGGATGGAGAAGGGGCAGAAAGTAATGTTTGAGGTGAGTCTTGCAGGATGAGTAGGATGCAAAAGACAGTAAGGGACGTGGGACCGTGGCACAGGACAGCATGTGCCAACATGACTGGAAGGCTTAAGTGTGATAAAGCTTAATGCCATAGAGGAATCAAATATTGATGAACCATTTCCCTAAATCCTTTGGATTTTCTGTACCATGCTAAATATCCCATCTTTGTCTCAGCAAGATGTATTGTCGATGAACTGTCCTGTAGGTAGAGGTCTTGTCTTCTGTACTGGAGATAAGGCCTGAGAAGTGGGGACTCTGGTCTTTTGTCCTTTTGAAGCCTCTTGGTGGCTTTTATACTGGCATATGCCTGAGGCATGTTGACAGGCAGCTTAGTTACCTTTATTCCTTTTTCTCCCTGTAGCCTGGTACAAGCAGAATATTGGCATGATCCTATAAAGGAGGATGTATACCGCAACCACAGCATCTTCTTGGCAGATATAAATCAGGAGCGGGTAAGGACCCAGCTGGGCTCCCAGTTTGGCATTTTTTTGGGGCATCAGATGCAAATGAGCAGTAACAATTTACCCAAACTGTCCTGGGCAGAACCCAGGAATCAGAAGTTCTGTTTTTGGGGAGACAGTGCTTATGCGATGAAGTTCCTTTCAGGGAGACTAGAATTCATTAGGCCTTCCTCCCCAATGGCCTTTCCCTTTTGGTCAGTAGATTGCTGACTGAGCTATATGGAAATTCATACCTACTGTCTTCATGAGGGAATCTTCCTAGTGGGACCTTTTAGGGCAGATTTTCTCAGAAAAGAGATTAACCTAGTAGAAACACTGCAGAGGGCACTGAGTGTGCCCCAGACATGAGCATGGCTTTGGAGGTTCTGGTAACTTGGTGGTTGTATTTTTATTAGGCTCATTTGAGGGTTTTCGTTGTTTTTTTATTTTATTATTTATTTATTTATTTTAAAATTTATTTTTTAGGTGTAGATGGACACAACACAATGCCTTTATTCTTATGTGGTGCTGAGGATTGAACCTGGGTCCCACCCATACTAGGCGAGTGCTCTACCGCTGAGCCACAATCCCAGCCCGTTCATTGTTTTTTTAAACAGAAAATTTGAAGGGGAAAATAAACAGAAAACAACCCAGAATAACAAGAACAACCCAGAATTTTCCGTTTATTTTTCCTTGGCATTCTCTGGCTAGAAGCCTTTAACCTATGGGACTGATGTCTATAGAGTGTGGATAGATTCATCATAGTACCTGTTTGCCATGGTTGGTGGCATGTCAGTCAGAAGAGATGGTTAAAAAAAGGCTACTCAGGGCATAATCTAGGCAGAAAGCTGGAAAAGCAGCCCATGCTCATGGGAATGAAACTGTTGCCCAGGGTCAGGAAGACAAAGCACTGAGAGGCTTTAATCCCTCTGTTGGAAAGTGATGGTAATGATTCTGAGGTGCTGCTGGCCTTTCTTCCAGAGTGTCAATGAGTCCTACAAAAAAAACCTCATGGCCCTGAAGACATTTGTGATGGTGAAATTCCTCAATGATTCCATTGTGGACCCTGTAGACTCTGAGGTGAGGTACTACTTAGGCCAGAGCATGCCAGGGGACTGAGAGTGGCACTAAAACACAGCTGCCTACTGGGCAAAATCCTTTAGTCTTCTCCACGTACATTAGTTGTTATTTTGTTCTGTTTTTGTTTTTGGTGCTCAGGATTGAACCTTGCTAGGCAAGCACACTACCACTGAGCTACATCCCCAGCTCCACCTACTTCCGTACAGAGCAGTGGTTCTGAGTTCCATAAATGAATACTGAATTGGTTGTAATCCTGAATTCCACCCCAGAATTTTATGTAAGAGTATGTGATTGCATTCTCTGGAGAAGGATCTATAATTTTAGTCAGATTTTCAGAGATCTATGACCCCCAAAAGGTTCAGGAATTTATAAATTCCTAAATGTAGGCTTAATTTGGCTTTGACCTATCTTTCCACCTTCATCTCCCTTCACATCATTTACTTTTTTGATCAAGCCATATTGTAGTATTTGAAATGCCCCAAACTTGGCATGAGCTTTTCCCCCTCTTGCATGCCTTTGCTCATGCTTTTTCATTTCTAGAATGTTTTTTCCTGTCTTAACTCCTATTTGTCTGTCAAGGCCAAATGCAAATGTTACTTCCTCTAGGAAGGTGTCCTTATCCCCAGAATTTGCTTCCTCTTTTATATCATCACCAGCCCCTAGTAAAGCCCTCCTCACATTGCCTCAGACCACCAGTGGGTGGCAAACAGGCCTATAGGACGAAATCCAGCCTGCCAGTTTTGAATGACCTGTGAGCTAAGAACTTTATTGATTTAAATTGTTGGGAAAAAAACTAAAAAGTATATTTTATGTGAAAATGACATGAAAGTAAAATTTCCGAATCCATAAATGGAGTTTCATTGGAATACAGCTGTTATCTGTATATTATCTGTGGCTGCTTTTGTGTTAAAATGGCAGCAATGAGTAGTTCCAAACATACAGCTCTAACATTTTATATCTAGCCTTTATAAAAAGAAAAGTTTGCCAGCCCTCTGCTAAACAATGAATTGTCTCTGTTCCTTGCTAGACTGGGAGCTTATTAGAAAAAGAGATCATATATTCACCTTTGAATGGCTAGAGTTCAGCACAGGGATTTTTCTTTTTCTTAAATTTTATTTTGTTTTTTTTAGTTGTAGTTGGACACAATCTTTTTTTTTCCCTTCAAAACATTTTCTTAGTTATTGATGGACCTCTATTCAATTTATTCATTTATATGAGGTGTTGAGAACCGAACCCAGCACCTCACACATGCCAGACAAGCACACCACCACTGAGCCCCAGCCCCAGGACACAGTATCTTTATTTTTATGTGGTGCTGAGGATTGAACCCAGCCCCCCCCACCCCCACCCCCAATGTGCTAAGTGAGCACTCTACTGCTGAGCCCAGCCCTCAGCACAGGGATTTTCAAGATTGGTATACAATAAGAAAAGGAAGCAGAAATTCTGAGGAGATGGAAAGCTCTTTGGGAAGATTAACTCATCCCTCAGGATTAACCTTTAAAACAAAGTGACTTAAGATATCCCCTTATCCATTTTTCCTTCTTGCTAGCTACATATATAGCTTTGGGATATTTGTTGATATGGTAGCCAGTGTCAAATGAATTTGGCAGTGTGTGCTGAGTATCTGACCTTTTTTTTTTCCTCTCTCCCTCCTGCAGTGGTTTGGATTTTATAGAAGTGGCCAAGCCAAGGAAACTATTCCCTTACAAGAGACAACTCTGTACATACAGGTAACTGGGAGAGAAAGATCATCTTTCATCTCTGGTTCCTGAAGCTCCTGGGTTCTCTGGTGCTAGAGCCTTCCCCTGCTCTGCCTAAGGAACCATCTGACTCCTGTCTGATGTGGACAAGTCTTGGTAGGATGATTATTGCATTAGCTTCTCAGGCACTGGCTTATCAAAATTCATTGGGTCATAAGGTAAGACCTGTCTCATGGTTTTCAAGCAAAAACAAGAACAACATTGGTAAGGCTTTCTTCTTGAAGAAAAGATTTGGAACTGGCTTCCTTTGTAAGGTGGGTTTTGCTACAAATCCAAGAAGCCTCCACAGAAATGAAAACAGAACAGAGAGCTACTTTCCAAAAAAAAAAAAAAAAAATCACAGACATAAAAATCCTGTTTTTAAATTAAACATTGGGGGACTAAGGATATAGATCAGAGCACATGTTTATGTAGCATGTACAAGGCTATGATTTTGGTCCCCAGCACCAAAATATCAATAAAGATGGCACTGACGAAGAGAGCTCCTTCTGCAGGTCAAGCAGGTGTAGAGTTGTTAATTTTGTTCAGTAATAGGTCTGTTTCTTAAGAAGAACCTGCAATATTTCACATCATTATGGGCCTGCTGCACACTAAGGGATTTATATTGGAGGCACAATCTCTCACAAATGCACAATCACCATCTCCTAGAATTCTTCCACTTTTCAAAGGCCATCTTATCCTCTTGTGTGGTTGTTATTAAGAATTGGGTATGTTTAGCAACCTGCTTGTAATCCCAGCAACTCCAAAAGTTGAGGCAGGAGGATCACAAGTTCAAAACTAGCCTCAGCAACTGAGCAAGGCCCTTTGCTACTTAGCAAGACACTGTCTCAAAAAATAAAATGGGCTGAAGATGTGGCTCAGTGACTTAAATGCCCCTGGGTTCAATCACCAATACCCCACCTAAAAAAGAAAAAGGAATTTGGTATGTAGGGGCTGGAGATGTAGCTCAGTAGGATGTGTGAGACTCTGGGTTAGAAATCCAGCACCACAGGGGTGGTGGTGGTGGGGTACAGAATATAGCTATATAAAACAATTTCAAATTGCACATACATTTAATGCTTAGTGAAAACCGAAGGAGGTGTCCTTTTTGACATTTTCTAACAATATACACCTGGGATTGGGGATATAGCTTAGTTGGTAGAGTGCTTGACTAGCATACACAAGGCCCTGGTTTCAATCCCCAGCAACCACCACCCCCGCCGAAAAGAAACCAGTATAATAGTACACCTCTAAGGTACTAAGGGAAAAAATGCATTTTGAGAATATATAGCAAGTGAACATTGTCACTTTACTGTTTTACTTAAACCTTTCATTATGCCTTTCTTTCTGCAGGACCGCCTGGGGCTAAAGGAAATGGACAAAGCTGGACAGCTGGTGTTTCTGGCTACAGAAGGGGACCATCTTCAACTGTCTCAAGAATGGTTTTATGCCCACATCATACCCTTCCTTAAATGAAGCCCCTGCAGTTCACAACACAGCTCAGGGAGTCCCTAGCTCTCCCAAACTACATGGAACAGTTCTTCATGCCCAACCCTGAGCTCAGATCCAGCTTGCAACTAATCCTTCTCTCTAACATGCCCTACTTGGAATGATCTAAGATCAGAATCTTATCATTTGCTGCCTCCTATCACCATATGGTGTTGAATTCAAGTTTAATCAGCTAATAACTATGGAGATTGTTTTACAACCTTATGATGTGGTCAAGCTCAGTCTTAGGGAGTCTGCTGCAGATCGATGCCAAAATTGTGCCGGACACAGGTGACTGAACAAACTAAAGCAGTAGAGATTCTGAAGGCAACTCTAGCCACATTCAAGCAAGTAGAAGGCTGTTACCCAGGCCTGAGGTGCTCATATAAATACTTTGTGTTGCTGGTGAAGATTTAACTAGTGCTTGGGAAAATATTGCTTGATAAGGCTGCTTTCCTCTTTTGAATATGTTGCCTTCTGTGGTATTTAGCAATTACTAGACAGGTTCCACTGGCCTTCCATCTTGCCTCTATAAAACCACTGTCTGGTAAGGTAATAATGAATTAATTGTTTTGTCATTAAAAAGAGGGAAATAGCACCCAATTGGGTTGCTTAAAAGAGAAAATGTATACCTTGCATAACTTAAAAGACAGTGGCAGGGTAGGGTATGACCATGAAGAAAACAGGATTGGAAATAAAAACAAGGCAGCTGGTTCTTTCCATTCCATCTTTCTTAAGTGGCGTGGATGTAACTGCTCTATTACTGGCTTTAGCAGAGCATGGGAGGAACAATGTAGAGAGATCAGGTTTTCTAACTTCCACCCCACAAGTCATATTTACCAGCGTATCCCAAACTGAGATGTTCTTTGAGAGAAGGACAAAACTTGAAGAATACTGTATGTTCCTTCTCTGAGATGAACCCACATCAGACTAAGGACTGAGAATTCCTAATGAATAGTAAAGGAAAATAACCATTAATCTACCATTTTCTACCTTATTTGAGCATGGAAGTCTTAGCCCCCACTCTATGAAGACCTATCAACACTTTCTGGACAACTTCTGTAGAATGCCAAGCTGCAGAAATGATTAAGATGTTTTCATGAAAGAACCTTGTTTGTGCTGCAGTTTACCTTTTATGAGTTTTCTTTTTCCTCTCTCAAGCCTTATTCTTCAACTGAAAGATAAGGATTAAGGACAAGAAGTGGGATGTGAAAATTTTATGAGGTTGTCTAAAATAAAGAGTAATTTCTTATCCTTAGTGTTATTTTTCTTTTCAATATTTTTATATCTGTTTAGCAAATATCATAGGTAAATAAGCAAGTTTGGTATTAACTTTATTCTGTTTTCTGTATAACTTTAAGTACATAAAGGTTTATTTCCACAGGCCTTAGGAAATGGGTAGAAGTCACAGGACAATCTCTCCTCCCACCAAAAAAAAAAAAAGTTGCATATTTTGGTAAGTGTGTCCTAGAGGGGAAAACTGATATTAGCAATGCTGTGCAAGATTCTTACATAAATTGAGACCTAAAACCAACCTGCAGTGGAGGTTTTAGTCCTCTGCTCAGGGATCTGGACAGGAGCCCTAAGCTGTTGAGCATGACACGCAAAAGGAGGCAGCAAAGGTGGATGACAGGCACCTAGCAGGGGAGGAGGAGGAGGGCCCCATTCCTTGGAATGGCGTGATGTTTTTCTTTTAAAGTTATCTCTGTAGGAAGGTGCTGAGCAGGGATCCCAGAGAAAGAAAGGGTACAAGACCCATAGCACTGCTACTGCAGCCAGGACTGGAGAACCTACTGTCTCATGATTGAGGCAGACCCAGGATAGAATGCAGAATAAAGGAATGCTTAAAGGAAACAAAAGTTTGCTTGGAATGCTAGATGGCCAAGCCTCAGCTGTTGGTCCAATGCAACCCTTGCCTCACTTGTCAACAGTGAAAAATTAGTTTGGTTAGGAAAACTATCAGGAATCATACCAGCTTCTGCTACCTCCATGCTCATTGTTAGGAAAAAAAAAAAAAATTAACTAGTGTGCACATTCTGATCTGTTAACTCCTGGGACTGTTTTATTCCTCCCAAAGGACTGTGTGTTGGAAGAATAACCTCCAAAAGCTGAAAGCTAAATTGCACCAGTCCAGGTCTGCAGTTCCTTAAGAATGGACTGGTGGTGTGGCTACACCGATATGGAAAAGCTGCACCTTCCTGCAGAGGATCAACTGACCTGCTATCCCACCCCAAATCTTAGCCTGAGGTATATTCAGTGAAGGCAGGTAGCTGGGCTTCTCAGAGCAGAGAAGCAGTTTAAGAGCAGAAAGGTAGAGGAAATCTAGAAAAGAACCGTCTTGATAACAGATTTATCCCATGGTGTGAAGGGAGAGGGCAAAGAACCCACTGGCACTTTGCTTATCCAGCAATTTCTGTCACTGTGGTGACCAACTTCTGCCCATTCCATAGGGTCTTGAACTGCTCAGGGACTGGGAACTCATTCTGCAAATAATGAAGAGATAATAGGTTGAAATCTAGGCTAAAGAACAAGCTGGAGCTAAATCTCACACTTTTTCCATTTCTTGCTTCCACTTAACCCAGACAGCAGGGCAGGATGGAGTGACACAAACTGAAGCCACCCAGTCATGCTGTGTTATACTGTTCAGTGATCTGTAATCTTCAGACACACTGTGTGAAACAAGAAGATGAATGCTTTAATAGTGCTAGCTTCATAGGGTGCTGGGACTCTTTTTCCTACCCTGAGTTCAAGAAATAAAGGCAGAAACCACCTTCCTTTGGAGCTCCACTACATGGGACTACCTTGTTTCTGTGCACTTCTATTTGGTTTGCATTGGTGTCCAATGTCCTTTAAATAGCTTTTTTTGAGGGCAAGATGTCTTATTAAGTCCCTTCTGCTTTTATCATTATACTACTAAAAGAAATCAAGAAACTTACAAAGTCACCGCCTTCTGTAGGAATGAGGACATTCATCTCAGAAGATTTGGCACTGACTATCTCACAATCCAAAGAATTCTTGCTCAGGTAAGCATGGCAGCCATCTGTTTTGTTAATGGAAATGGTTGGCACTTTACCCATTACCTGCAGAGAAAAACAAGAGAACTGAGTCCCAGAAGGCAGGGAAAGACAATAGTAAGGTGTAGGGAAAATTTTCACTGTTTCGCGTGATTTAGCAACTACATGAAAAAGCTCTCAGGTGCACAACAGATACTAGATACTGGGGGTGGATTGGGATGGATGCTGGAAAGAGCTCCCTTGAAGCGCCAACCCTCTTCTGCTACATCCAAAGCAGCTCAGCTTACAGACTTTGTAGAATCAGATTCCTACCAAGGCAATATCTATGAGTCCACTGTCTCTTTCAATTAATACCTCAGAGACCAAAAGAAGGAGCCAAGATATCAGGTTACCTGAACTTTGACATCCCTACTATTGATTATCTCCACGATGCCCACCACGTCATCAAATACCAGACCAAGTTTCTTACAGTTATCTAGGAGAAGAAAGGAAGCAGGTCAGCAGTGTAACTTTAAAAGAAAGTTAACACATTTTTTAGAATCTTTAGGATGAGGGTAGGCAAAATGGTTCTAGCCCACTCAGGCTATACCACAGATTGTGCCCAGGACAACTACAAAGACTCACCTACTGTAATAGAGTTAATTTTGCCCTTGATTTGCAATGTCGTGTTGACACACTTGTATATGTAAGCCACCTGTTTCAGTTCTGTGTCATCAATCACCAGGTTGGAAACATTCTCCTGATTTTCCTGTTAAAGAGATACTCCAGAATTCTTATCATAAAGCACACACCAACAACAATAAGAGGTTATCCCAAACTTTTGTTCTTCCACTATAAGTCAGAACCCTGACATTCATTTGGCTGAATTCTGTTTAAACCCCCTGTCCTCACTCCTCCTTCCCCTACTCCAGGTATTTTTAACTCACCACTCTCCACTTCTTGCCCTCCAGTTCAAGGAGAGGTGGCTCCTTTGTGGCTGGTTTGGAGGATGGAATGGTTTGGGGTTTAGGTGCAGAAAATGGTTTGGGACCACTTCGTACTGGGCCACTCTGAGCCTTCAGGGCAGGGTTCTTGTGAGTCTTCATATCATCAGATACGTGTTTCAGGGCTGTAAGAACAACAGCTACCTTGTTCCTGTTCTTCCTACAAGAGCTTTGGGCTGAGCCAATTATCAACTTTTGCCATTGGAAGTTAAACTGATTGTTAGTAGAAAATTTAAAGCAAAAACTGGAGACTTTGGGATGTTTTCTTATAAGCAGTTTTGGAGAAGTACTTTTATAATTTCTCTTCTCTCCCTAGGTTAAATTACATGACTTCATTAAAAAAAAAAAAAAATGCACAGGGCTGAGGTTGTGACTCAAAGTTAGAGCACCTAGCATGCATGAGGCACTGGATTTGATCCTCAGCACCACATAAAAATAAAATAAAGATATTATGTCTACCTATAACTAAAAAATAAATATTTTTTAAAAATGTGTGTATGTATATAGTTTTAAATTAGCAATACAGGGCAGGAAACATGATAGTAAAGAAAATTTGGTAAAAGGAAAAAAAAAACCAAAAAACAAAACCCTCACCTCTAACTAACCTTCTTCCCCCAATACCAATGCCAATCATTGTGGAAAATATCCAGTATTTTTTTCTAGTCATATTGTTTTTATTTGGCCAAAACCATATACACTATTAACAAAATTGGTCCAACCAATTAATGCTTAATAAAACCTGTTAACCTATGGTTCTAAAATATATCTATGTAGGTATATATACTTTTTTAGTTGTAAATGGACACACCTTTAACTTATTTTTATACTGTGTTGAGGATCGAACCCAGTGCCTCACACATGCCAGGCAAGCGCTCTACCACTAAGCCACAACCACAGGCCTTATATATTTATATAGCTAGATATATTAATATCTATCTATATCTGTCTCTCTCTCTCTCTCTCTATATATATATATATATATTTTTTTTTTTTTTAAGAAAGAGATTCCATAATCTCCTTTAGTAGACTGACCCACACCTTACTCCTAAACATGGCCCAATCTATACTGACCCTAGAACCAATACTGGATGATGTTTTTAGTTCTACCACAGTCAATGGTTATAGTTTATTTTCTGGCAGAGGGGAGCCATCTTGTGGAGGGGCTTGTAGTTGGTGGGGAGGACAATTAGATCCAACTTCTTCAGCTGGGCTGGGTCTACTGAGCCTCATAGTGGCTCAAAGTGGTTATAAGTTTACATTTTTTTCCCCTTTAAACATTACAAGTCTTTAGGTAGAAGAAAATATAATGGTTACATAATACCCCATGAATAGGATATAGCATAGTTAACTAGCCTTTTCCCTCACTGTTGGATATTTTTATTGTCACACCATTTTTAGTTACTATTATAATACAAAACTTTTTAAAAATATTTGAGTCAATTCCCAGAAAAGGGCTGTACAATTAAGTCTTCCACCAGCTGTGTATAAGGCTTTCATATTTTATAACGTTAGGTCTAGTCCTATGAAAACTTCCCATGTGGCTAATAAGCATCCTCTGAGAAAGTTAGCTCCTGACACAGTGAAATCCCAGAGGGACCATGTGGTACTATGGAGAAAGTTCTGGTGAAAACTGCCAGTACTGTATGGTTGGCACAAGAAGCTATTCTACATATGCTGTTTAATATTTAGTCACTTTCTCATGGGGCAGAGGGCTTCCCCCAACTGATATCACCTAGTTTCAATTTCAACCTAAGTCATGTTTGCTGTCCCTATGGGCAACCTGAAGGAAAGTGACACCCAAAAAAAGTCCTTCCACATGCAGATTAGCTACAGTGTCTGGTTGGTGAGCTCTAGTCCAATTTGCTGTACCAACTGTTCTTGCCAAAGTACTCACCATGTGTGATCCTCTCCCCCTGATTAATCTGTGCAAACAGGGCTGAGCGGGAAGCAGAGTCATCAGAGCCTGAACTGGTAGGGACTGGGGGTGGAGGTGGGCCTGGTGGGGGAGGAGGAGGACCAGATCCAACAGAGGGTCCAGATGGCAATCCACTCAGTTCTTTTGCCACAGGCCCCTGGAATATAAGTATAAGTTAATAGTCATCCTCTCTCTTCCACTCTGTACCATTCCCAGTAGGGACTCAAATGTGTCCAGTGTATCTGGGCTCTTTTCTATAGCCCTGAGGCAACAATTAACATCCCTACCCCCACCACATTTGGCTTTATTCCTTCTCAACCTTTCCCAAGGATCCCACTCTCAGCTCTTATTTCTCAACCTTCACATTTTACCTTTGACCTCACCTGACTCCCAACAAAACCCATATTTCTAAAAGTCTACTTGACATCTTCCTTAGTATGGTACCAGTACCTCAGATTAACACATTTAAGACTGATTTCATCATCTCTTGCCTGCTCCCTTATCTGTACATCGTTCCCTGGTCCCTATTTCAATGAAAAGACATCCAAGCTTGACTATTTGATCTTCTTTGAGGCTTCCAACTCCCTTGACCTCATTAAATTAATCTTGAAGCTATCTTCTGCAAATGCTTTTCTAATAGCCCCCGGCATCATGACCACTTCCATGGTCTGAGAATGAGCCCATACCCCTCACTCCTATTAAAGTAATACAGATTTTTCACAAGCTTATCTGATTCTATCCATAATTACTGATTTTCACATTATATCCCATTATATACTGATTTTTCACAAACACCATGGCTGGTTTTTCACTGTGAAGAAGTTATGGTTTATTCTGTGATTTCTTTTGCAACTTTTTCTTTCTGTCTCAATCTTGCTTTTCTCTACTGTAAGGGCATCAAATATTCTTTTACCTAGTGGCCTCTTCTAGATCTTTCTGCAGCTCATCTAAAGTCAGAGCCATAGATAGGCTGGGTCATGCGCAAGGGTTCATGCTGAACCTGTACAGTGGAGACAGGAAACCCCATGCCAAGTGCAACCACCACAAGAACCCTAGTATCTATAGGTGCCTTGAGGGCTGGGATAGTGTGACTCATTCATCTGTCTCCTCCCCTCTAACACCAATTGCTCTCCGTGACCTGTTTATTAAAACTGAACAGGGGGGTAGAGCATTTGCCTAGCATGTGTGAGGCACTGGGTTTGATTCTCAACACTGCATAGAAACAAACAAAATAAAAAGGTGTTGTGCCTGTCTATGACTAAAACACACACACACACACACACACACACACACAAACAGAACTCAATATTTCTTCTTTCTGACACTTGTTTTTCTTGGTACTGGGGATTGCTGAACCCAGGGGCCTCTTACCACTGAGCTACTTCCCATAGTCACTGATTCACCCCCTCAACAAACTTTTTTAATGTGGTAAGACAGGGTTGAACTGCTGAGGCTGACCTCCAACTTATGATCCTTCTGCCTCAGCCTCCTGAATTCCTAGGATTAAAGGCTGACTGAAACTTGCTTTCTTTACTTTCTTCTCTTTTTCCCTTTCCTTTCTACTCTCCACCAAAGAAAAACTAGCATTCCTTCTCAGGCCTTCTGGTTCTACGGTCCTGGAGAAATAGAGAAGGAAGGAAGACTCACTGACCGTTTTGCTCCAGGCCAGTCCAGTGGTATGGAACTCCTTGATATAAGCCTGTAGCTCTGTCCATATACTCAAGTATGCTTTGACCCAGTCCACATGTTTCTTATCCCTAAAAGAATTAAAAAGAACTTGTGATAGGCAGTAAGTGATTCCAAAACCTCTCCTGCTTATAAGTCATATCTTCGCCTGTGGTGTTTCTTAGGCTCTGGTCAATGGTAGCTTTTCATCAATACTGGGCTTTTTAAAATATTTATTTTTGTGGTGTACTCCAGAGTAAACCCAAAGGCACTCTACCACTGAGCTACATCCCCAGAGTTTCTTTTTATTCTGAGACAGGGTCTTGCTAAGTTGCTAAAGCTAGTTTTGAACTTGTGATCCTCCTGCCTCAGCCTCCCAAGTAGCAGGAATTACAGGTGTGTACCACTGTGCCCAGCCACTAAGCTTTTTTACTTTTATTTTTATTTTTTAAAGAAAAAAGAAAAGGGGCTGGGGTTGTGGCTCAATAGTAGAGCGTTCACCTAGCACATGCGAGGCCCTCGATTCAATCCTCACCACCACATAAAAATAAATAAAATAAAGGTATTGTGTCCAACTACAACTAAAAAATAATTTTTTTAAAAAAGAGAAAAAATCCTAGCCAATATCCTAATTAGACCAAACTCAGTAGGACAGGGACACTGGATTAGATCTCCTTCCATCTCTTATAGCAGCAATATTTCTCAAAACTTTCTTAAAAGCAAAATTATTTTTTCAAAGTAGGTCTTAGCCAGAACCTAACATGTAAAACACGAAAGCAAGTATTTTGTGCATGAAGCCATGGTAGAACCAAGATTTCTGAGGCATCACTATGGAACTCAAGGACTCGAAGAAACTCACGTGTCTCATGAGACAGTGTCTTGTGTTAATATGTTCCATCCCCTCATAAACAAACAAACAAACAAATGAACAAACTTTCCTTTAGAAAATAATCAGCACTGAATTATAAAAATAGAACTGCACTATGTTTCAGGTCTTCTCTATTCCTACCTATTAGCTATAAGACTTTAAGGTAACTTAGCCCAAGACCTACTTTCCTCAACTGCAAAATAATGAGGTAAATACAAATCATTGTGATGTTCATTCCAGGTTGCTAGAGAGATCAAAGATGTGCCTGGTTTTCTGCAACACGTTTCATACAAATGAAGGCTTATTTCTTGCACAGAACAGTTACTCAACAAATGTTGGTTGACCAGTGATGGTCAGAGGTGTTTAGAAAGCTATGTAACTAAGTAATTGCTGCTTACAGTCACTCAAGTTCAAAATTAGCAATCGAGAAGCCAGTGAGGACAGGTCTGCCTGTGTGTTAAGACATAAAATAACCTTCCTAGCTTCATGCCTGCATTGGCAAGGCAGCCTTACTCTCTCATTTTACCTGACTGCATTAATAGTCATGGTATTTTCTAGCTAAGTCCTACTGAACCCCTTGCCATGGCACCAGTGAGAAATCTGTGATAGAGGAACAAAATCTTGTATAAACAGGCAAATCAAAGGACATTAGTCCACTTTACCTACAGAAAAATTTCCTAAGCTGGAAGGGTAAGAATCAGAAAACTAAAAGGGTCTCTACCAACTATGGAGGAAAAAAAAGAGATGTGAAAGCAGAAACACTTCCTGCTTGCAAATGTACCTTCAATGAACCAGTATTTAGCACGCTTTTTAGAAAGTAGCCCTGGAGCTGGGGCTGTGGCTCAGTGGTAGAATGCTTGCCTAACATGCGTGAGGCACTGGGTTCAATCCTCAGCACCACATAAAAATGAAATAAAGATATTGTGTGCCACCTACAACAAAAAAATAAAAATATTAAAAAAAAAAAAAAAGTAGTCCTGAAAATAGAGAACTGACACAGAAGCCATGGATAGCCTTAATTAACCAAAGTGCTATTCCAGGAAGTAACCAGCTGGATTTGTCCTCTACCCCTTGAGGAAAAGCTAGACTTACACATCTTTATATTCCTTAAGGACTCGGTTTGTATAAAACATGGCAGCATCAGTCATTTCTTTCACATAAGGACCAGGTTTGGGAGCCTAGAGAGAAAGAAGCAGTCAGTTATTTAGCGTTTCCAATCTTATCTTCTTCCCTCTTTGAGTGTATCCCTTTCATCTCCTGAAACTAATGCTGCTCACCATAGCCACCCAACCCAAGGCTTGGATGCTTTCACTGACAGCAGACAGGTGATTGAACAACTTGCTGCCTCTGTTCTTCTCCCGAAAAGTTATCACTTCTTGGATCTGCTCTGAGATGGGTGCCAATAGGTCAGAAAGCTTATTCTAGGAAAAGAGACAGGAAAAGGTTTAGATTAGAATCTTTCCTCAAAAGCTGTATATGTTGGTCAACTCTGATCCTGAAAGCAAGAAATCTTTATGGAATACAATGAGCACATAAATAAATATTCATCCTATCCTGATTTACATGACTAAAATACTCCTCATCATCTCACCTCTACATAAAGTTCCAAATCCTCAGGATGGGTTGTGTGGTTCTTCATGCTTAGTACCCATACTCCAGTTATACTATAAAACCACCATCATTTCAGTTACTTGTCTCTTTTCTGTCCTACTAACAGGATATATTAGTTTATGTCTGCATCTTGTGATGTTGTTTTCTTTTTCCATCTATCCAAATATTTCTCCAACCCCAGCCACACCAGCCTCCTATAATATTTACAGTTAGCAAAGTTAATTTTGGCACTTCACTATACACCAGTACAATGGACCCATGTGAGCATGTTTTTCTTTCTCATTAATTCTTCAAAGGCCAGGGGTTTTGTCTTAGTTCTCCTTTGTCATCATTATAGCCCTCAATGCATTGTTAACCATATAGCAGCTGTTGAATAGAGATGTAATGAATCAAATGTAATTAGGGGACTTGACATTTGAGCAGACAGCTCAGCAAAACAGATGGATCTTAAGTTTCAGTGTTTATCCTTCCTTCAAAGCTTCGTTTCCAAATACCTCAAATCTTAGGTCTTTATATGAATACTGTCTAACCAGGAGTCCGCAAATATTTTCTCTGAAAAAACCAGACAATAAACACTGGTTCCAAAAAACCTTCATTTACAAAAATAGGTGGTGGACTAGATTTGACCTGCAGGCTGTGGTTTGCCGCCCCTTCTACAGCAAAGAAAATGTAACAGTGTCTCAGCTGCTTGACTTATGATCAAGTGTGGGTTTAGAGAATATATTTAGATAAATAGCCATTCAGGGCAGATTAAAGACTAAACTCTAATATATTCAAATTATCTTACATTATTTTTACAAACTATGTAATGACCCATGCCAAGGTCAAGGCTTTTAATAATACAACAGTAGCAGAAAGACTGCTGGATTACCCTCCTATGCCTAGAATACTAAAAATCTTCCATTCTGAGAAACATCTCAGCTTTTTCTAATTCAATTTTTCACATCCTGCAGCATAAAATTTTGAGTTGGCGTAAAATTAAAGGGAAATTTTCCCCAATCAGTGAGTAATAAGGGGAGAAGCAGTACTTCAGATGTTTTCAGATTCCATAGAAGCTTTACTAAATCCTACCCATGATGAAGGAGGAGAACTATCTCTACAATAGTAAGTTGTATATTCAGAGAAGTGGCTAAGTCCCATGGGTAAATAAATCCTAAGCAAAATGAGAGGGAGGAAAAAAGCCAGTACAGACCAATAAATACTCAATGGCACATTCCCATGATGGCACTTTTAAGTCTGACTCTAACCCTGGGACATTGTGTGAATGTCTGGTAGGTCTTACCATGCTGTGATAACTTAGCAGAAATCTCTCAATTTGACCTAAACATAAAACCAAAACTAAACCAGCTAGTCATCAACTTACACCAGCTGGCTGCTGACACTGAGAAGCTGTAACCAGGAGAGCTCGCTCCAACTTCAAACCAGTGTGGACCATCTCTGCCTGAAGGAGAGAAGCAAAATCAGCTCTATCGATGACACATTACAACTGGAAAGATCCTGATAAGAATAACCTGAAACCTCTACTTCCATGAGGTCTGGTAGCACCCAGGACCTTCATATTGTTTTCCTCATGAATTCCAGATTCGAGAGACTGATATCAGAATCACATTTACTACTGTTCCTGCTAAAACAAATCAGGGATATGTAGCCAGATTTAGGAATGAAGATAATCAGGGCTAGCTTCAGATGAAGACAAGTTAGCCACTTCACATATGTTGTTTCTGACATGCACTGAAAAATCCCTCCTCACATCACCAAAATTAATAAAAACAAAAATCACCTTCCTCAAAAACTGGAGGTAGGAGTAAAGGCAAAGGCCCAAATGTATGCCTAAAATTTTTAAGGTATTTACTCCTTCAGGTTAAGTTATTGCTCAAATGCTAGATCATGCATACAATTAATGAAATCAACTCAGTGAGACATAACCAGTATTTTTTTTAAGTTATAGACAGACATAATCTTTCTTTAAATTTATTTTTATGTGGTGCTAAGGATCAAACCCAGTACCTCACACATGCTAGGCAAGCACTCTACCACTGAGCTACAACCCCAGCCCATAACCAGCATTTTATTAAAAGTGAAAACGAATAAAGTAAGAGAGCAGCAAACTAAATTGCAATTATTTCCAAAACAGTGAAAAAATTAAAAAATGCAATATAACTAGTCATATAACTATTATAAGCACTACTTTGTAAATACATACGTGTGTGTGTGTGTGTGTGTGTGTGTATGCCTTTATTTTATTTATTTACATGCAGTGCTGAGAATTGAACCCAGTACCTCACATATGCTGGGCAAGTACTCTACCATGAGCTTACAACCCCAGCCCAAAAACTTTTTATCTCAGTTACAAATGTTATTTCTTACTAAGGGGTCATAGTCAAAAGAATTTAAGAAACTTAAGGTTACAAAGCACTACTAAAATATAAAAGTACTACTAAAAGAAGATAATCTATTTTTTTTCTGAATTTGCATTTTTCAAAGATAAAAAGTGATGCACATTTTAAAATTCTTTCAAATGTTATAGAACTATATAAAGAAAAAAGGCAAGCTCCCCCACACCTGTGTAAGTCCAAGTTCCAGTCCTATTCCCTAGAGCTAAGACCACTGTCAACAGCTGGTATATGAGTGGCTCAGGGTTTAAGTGAGGAAGAGTCTAAAAATGGGTCATTCAGTGCATTAGTAGGAAAGTTCTGGGTTCCAAAGAGAGGCAGGATGTATATGAAGAGTGGAGTATGTGATGGTAGTGGTGATAATGTAGGAAACAGAAAGGAGGTGGTAAATAGGCAACCATCATTACTTATTTCATATTCTTGCAGTGGGTCAAGTGTGAAAATAACCCACATTAGCATAACTAATACCTAGCAAACACAGTTTTGTAAAGGCTAAGTCATGATAATGACTCCTTGGAATAAGCCATCCTAGGCCTGGTTACATAATATGTTGGGATCAGGCTGGTAGCATATTCTTCATCACAAAAATGAACAGAGTCCGATTTTATACAACAAGCAAGCTTTCTATATAAAGAAACCCACACAGAATATGTAATAAAGGCAGGATACCTAGAAAAATGAAGACTCATTTCTGTGCCTGGAATGAACTCCTTGGTGCAGGTACAGAAAAAGGAGTCAGGAGCCTCTCAAAAGGGTTCTTAAACCAAGGATAAGTGGGATGTTAAGAAAACCACCAGCCTTTAAAAGGAAAGGGCACAACATCCTTACATGTTTCTGTACGTCTCCTCCAATCTCTTTACTGATCTTCAAGTACTCTGCCACAGGACTGGCAAGCAGTGAGTCAAATGCTTGCACATATGGAACTGCTCCTGGTAAAGACAAACACACCAGGAAGAATCATTCACAATCCAAAGGATGTGCACTTTAAAGCGCACTTCCCTGTGAAAATGGGGGAGAAGGGACAAGGTAGTATAGTACACAGAATACTGGAAAGGGAGTCAGGAAACCCAGGTTCCAGTTCTAATATCACCACTAACTCTGAGCTTAATTTTCTTTATCTATAAAATGAAAATAAACAAAATGATCCTTCAAGATTCCTTTTAGCTCTAACATTCTATTTTCAATTAGTGCTTGTGCAAAATGGTTGATCTGACAATCATTTGGAGAAGAAATTTTAATATCACTTGTCATTTGACTTAAACTGGAGTCATCTGCTAAAAAAGAACTGGAAATATCACACAAGCAGGAAGTTCTTGTGTTAAAATATCTTAACCACAGGCCTCCCTGCACAAGTCACTTCCTCCCTATCTGTTCACAGCAGTAAGAATTAGAAGAAACAAACTACCTAGAATAAGTGTTTTGGGAGGTCAGCTCCAAAGAAAATTCACTATGACAGAAAAATTAAGGCCAAGACACTACTCAAGACATTCTGCTGGGCTGCAGACTTCTTACCTTTTGAAGGACTGTCTCCATATCCTAGATGCATGTCAGTGGTATGGGATACTGCCTCTAGGCGGCCTACTGCCCTCTCCAATCTTTCTACCAGATTTTGCATGTCAGCCATAATGTACCACCTGCTGAAACAAATGTCATTTGTTACTTTAATATTACATAGCACCCACAGGAGGTGACGATAATATTAAGATGGAAAAGTCGTCTAACAAATTTGCAAAATTATATAAACTTCATTAAACAAGAGAACTACTTAGAAAAAGGTATTTACTAAAGCAAATCATACTCATTCACATACTTATTGACTATTATAACACTAACAAGCATTTGCATAGATATTTAGAATTTACAAGTATGGTCATTATCTCAGTTACTTAAGACTCCCAACAATATTGAGGAATGGAAGGATAATTACTACACTCCTAAAAATAGAAAACTAAATTTTAGTGACATTAAAGGACTTGCAAAATAAAGGACTTGTCTATAGTCACACAGCTAGTAATTGGAGAAGTTAGTAGTCAACTCAAGTCTGGCTCGAGTTCAGTGTAGTTCCCCTATAACTCTCAAACCCACATAACATCCCACTACCTGCATGCAAAATGTCCCAAACCAAGATGAATGGAATATTTGCCCTACCCTCAATTACTTGTGATCTATGGGGGAGATTTAACATATACACTAACAACTATAAAGTAAATAGAAAAAAAATGCTTAACGCAATGAACTGAAAATAAAGTGCCATGGGGTTTCAGGGAAGGAAGAGGGTTTCAGCTGGAAAGATCAGATAAGGATATCATGGAGAAACTGTCATTTGAGCCAGGTTTCAAATGAGGATGGGAAGGATCTGGATATGATAAAGAAGACTGAACACATTCAAAAAAGCTTGTTATATATTTTTCACAAGTACTAACTTACCTGAATTGCCTCATTTGATGTCTCAAATCCTAAAGTAAGCAAACTCCAAAATACAAAGAATTTTATCTAACTTGTTCCTTATTATACTCTACCATCTAGATCACCACCTGACAGGTAGTAGGTGTTCATGCAGTTAGCTGGGCATGGTGGCATATGCCTGTAATCTCAACCACTGGGGAAACTAAGGCAAGAGGATTACAAATTCAAGGTCAGCCTGGGTAATTTAGTGAAACCCTGTCTCAAAATAAAATAAAAAGGGCTGGGGATGTAGCTCAGTGGTAGAATAACACTAAGATGTGTGAGGTCTTGGGATTCAGACCAGTACCACAAAAAATAATAAAAATTAAAAAGTTAATGAATCTAATAATCTAATAATGCTAAGACAAGGGTTCTTAAAGTTGTCCACACTATATACCTAAGTGTAAATAAAATGTCACCAATATACATTTACATAAAGAACTAGAATCCTTGAGTGATCTTATAAAAATCAGTCAGTAAAATTTCAATTAAAGGGGCTAGAGTTGTAGCTCAGTGGTAGAGTGTTTGCTCCTCATGTATGAGACCCTGGGATCGAGCCTCAGCACCACATAAAAAAACAAATAAACAAAAACAAAGATATTTTTTAAAAATTTCAATTAAAGCCTTGACTTTGGAAGATCCTTCATTAATTAATTTAGGTAATTAAACTTGAAAGACTTTAACTCCTTTGGAAGATGTCTAAAATGACCACAGCAATTATGATTCACCCCAAAATGATGACATGCCAGAATATCTCAACACACTGTCCTCACTGTGAAAAAGATCAGCAGCTCACAAGACAATATAATCCCTGTCCATTCTTTTCTGTGTATAGGCCCTGGTCTCTCTGTGTCTAGTCACTTGTCAGAGAATCCTGTCTGAAAGACTCCCAAAGGCTAGTACATGCCTGTAATACCAACTACTTGGGAGGCTAAGGAAAGTGCATCACCAACTTTAAGGCCAAGCTGAGCAACTTAGACCATATCGCAAAATAAAAAATGAAAAGGGCTCAGTGATAGAGAGCCCCTGTTCAATCCCCAATACCACAATAAACAGAGAAAGGATACCAAAGGAAAAAAATGACAAAGAGAACCAAATCAGTCTCCATTCCCTGGCCTGGAGAAAAAGCAGAAACTTCCAGATCTACACTCTATTCACAGATAGAAAAACTAGAAGCAGCCAATATACTCTCCCTTATGTTACACTATTGACCAATATCCAAAGTGGGTATTGGCCAAGGACAAACTGAGACATAATCCACACTTTATAAACCTAGAGGAGCTGGGTGTGGTGACAGATGCCTGTAATCCCAGCAGCTCAGAAGCTTGAGGCAGGAGGATCACAAGTTCCAAGGCAGCCTCAGCAATTACCAAGGCCTTAAGAAACTTAGTGAGATCCTGCCTCATAAATAAATAAATAAATAAACAAACAAGTGCTGGGGATGTTGCTCAGTGGTTAGGCACCCCTGGCTGAGTTCAATCTCCAGTACCAAAAAACTGTATTTAAAAAAAAAAAAAAATCTAGGAGATAAGGCAAGGAAAACAATGAACTCCCAAGCTACCTTCCATGAATAGATATTACCCAGTTATATTATAAAACATATTCTTCATATACAATGGACACTACAAGTTGAGACTAGTGTTAACATGAAGACAGGAGTACAAGATGTGTAGGTTTGTACAAGCTGCCAGGGTTGTGAACAACGACCAATCTCAAAAGTTTAATAATACACCTCCAGGGGATTTTGGTTCCCTTTTTTTTTTATATTTAACTTGTACTATACAGGCTATATTTCTGCTGAGTTAAGAAGCATGAAAAAGAGACAATACAGCTACCACTTATAGCTAATCTCATTCTACCATTAATCAAACACAGAGGAAAAGTACTTGTTTTTTTTGTTTTGGTGGGGGAAGGGTGAGATTTGATATGTTATGGGAAAGAATGTCCTGAATTAAAGGGACCAAAACACACACCTTTTCTCACTCTCTAAAAACATTCACACTCTTTAGGTGGTCATGTGCACTCCTTGTAGTCTTCAGCTACTATTGTTGAAGTCTAACTAAGACACTTAGCTCATTTGCCAATGGTACCACCGCAACCACCTATAATTATAGATGCCTGGAGCAGCATATCCATCTTGGGCCATTCTTCTGTGATTCAGAATCTTGTATCCAGCACATCTTTACACAGATGTTCCAAAGGCAACTCAAACTGAAATATCCAAAACAAAACCCTAAAATTGCTCTCCTACCCCTGACTCTCACAGTCTCTACAATCCAACATTATCAGCAATTATTTGAATAACCAAGATGGTAACTAGGGAAGTAGGAGAGAAACAGTGAACAAGAATTGTCCTTTTTTTGTTGTGGGGGTGGGGTGTTACTGGGAAGTGAACCCAGGAGTGTTTTACTACTGTGCTATATCCCAGACTTTTTTTTTTTTTTTGGAGACCCTTTCCCCCTAAATTGCTAAAGGGTCTCACCAAGTTGCCCAGGCTGGCCTCGAATCTGTAATCTTCCTGCATTAGCATAACAAATTGCTGGGATTACAGGCATACACCACTATGTATGGACAAAAGCAGTCTTTAGAGAAGGCAGATAGGAAAAAAAGAAGTAGTAGTCAGATAGATTGGGGGTTTGAATTTAACTCACCTCGCTCTGAACTGTTAATTGAACTTCCTGAGCTTCAGTTTCCTTATTTACATAATGGGGATAACAATCCACAAAATACAGAGAGTTACAGAGAGAATAGTCCTCGAAAATAGTAAAAATTCCATAAATGTTAACTAAATTGTCTTCTTCCTTATTCCCCACAGCTAATCAGTCATCAAAATTCATAGGCTTGGGGGCTAGGGTTGTGGCTTGATGGTAGAGTGCTTGCCGAGCATACATGAGGGGCTGGGTTCAATCCCCGCCACCAATAAAAATAGAAAAAATAAAATAAAATAAAATACAGGTATTGTGTCCATCTACCAAAAAAAAAAAAAAAAAAAAGATCTATTTTGCATTTCTAACTAATAGAGGTAACTTGCTCCATTCTAATTAAAAAAAAAAAAGTTGTCATCAAGACTTTGCACAGATTATTGCAGTAACTTCCTAGCTAGTCTCCCCTAATTCTAATAATATACCTTTTCTTCATCCATTCTCCATATTATAGCCAGAATGATCCATCTCACATGCAAATGTAAATAAAGATATTCTTTAATATCATTCAAAACTCCCCATAGATTTCATGGTGAAGTTCAAACAAGGGTTTCCATAATCTAGTCCTGCTTTATCTCCTTTTACTCCATGGTTTTATCTCATTACACCTTTCTTCAGCACAAACACAGCAATTCAGGACCTACTTGCATTTTCTAAAGTCGTGCTTTCTCTCACTTCTTTTTATGCTATCCTATCTGCTTGGCTGCTTTCCCTCTGCAATCTACCCCTTCTCTGGAACTTCTGTTGTCCTTTAAGTCTAAGGTAAGGTATCACCTCCCTACAAAGCACTTCCAGCATGTGCTTCTATGACATTGTGTACTTTTCTCTAACAGAGAACATTTAAAATAATTTAACAGTAAGCGATTAGCTTCCCCAGGATAGGGACCAGATTTTGCCTTTGTAATTCCAGAACTATAAATGTAGTAGGCATTAAAAATATAACAGATCAATAGGAGTTTTTGGTAGATGTAGAGATGAATGAATTAAGGCCCATATCCACTCTCCCCTCAATACAAGTCTGGCTATCTCTTCTTCCTGTCAAGTCTGTGAAGTGTTTCCCCTTACTCCCTCTTCTTATTTTGTAATTCTTTTTGTCTACCTGCCCTTTGGGGTGGGGAGCAGTCCTATAGATAGAACCTGGGCCTTATACAGGCTAAGAAAGCAATCTACCACTGAGCCAAACTCCCAACCCCACCTACCTGCTTTTGCAGAACCCTATAAACACTTCCATCTTTCAAATAAATGATGTTTTCTAAGGCACAAATCACACTGATATAGAGGTCTTCAACTAAGTACCATAAGAAAAATAACGCTATTTATTAGAATATTAATTAGAAACTGATCCCACACAGTTATGCTCTACATCATCAATCTGTGGTTTCTTGAGACTTAAATAATTTTGTCAGGTGTGTTATATAGATATTATTCCCCATTTTTAGAATGAAAAAACTGACATTTACAGAAATTTAAAAGCTTACTAGAGGGGCTGA